GCAGATATGTGGAGCCTGCAGCATCCTGCTCAGTGTGCTGCATTCAGGAAAAAAACATCTTTACAGCTGTGCCTCAGCCTATGTGGCTGCTGCCCGGATTTTGCCAGCACCTCAGGAAACCCCCACATAAATGGGACACTGGTAAAGACAGCATATCCAGGGAGAAAGGAGCTGGGCTAGTGGTCATCAGAGGATTGTGCCACAAAATCCTTCCAGTGTGGGAAAGGGAACAGGAGAACACATCTTCCTTGCTCAGTACAAAGAGATTAAGATACTGCAGGGCTTTGCAGTGTGGACTTCCAGCCATCAGACAGTGCTGGTGTCCCCAGCTCCTGGCTGAGCCCCACAGCTGGAGGGATTTCTCCTGTTCCAGCCCCTGCCTCACTTGTCTGTAAAGCAAAGTAAGACCCTGTTTTAGTCAACTTGGTTCCTGTCCTGTCCCCTGCAGTCTCTGGTGAGTTGAGCTGTGCCAGGTCTCAGCCAGCATGAAGGCAGGTGGGTTGGCCAGCTCCCCRAGTCTGTCTCACTGCTTGATTCTCCATCCTCCCTCCAAACAACATTTCACTCCAGGCCTGCACTCAAATGTCCTCTGTAGAATGCAGCATTTTTTATCAGTCACCAGGCATCTGCAGGCCAGATCTGTCCTTGCTTTTGTGTCCCAGSCCTGGGGTTTGTGTTACAGCCTCAGGCCTTGCAGGGTGTAGCCCCCTGTCCTGGGTGAGACCCACTCCARTGACATCAGCGAGCATGGTCTAAGGACAACATCTGAAGTGTCACACCCAAGGTGTCTTGCTGGAGGTTCCAGCAGGCTCCTTCCCTGCTGGGCACAATTGCCCAGTGATGCCCAGACCATGGGCTGTGTGATTTGATGGCAGCCACCCACCCCACAATGCCAGTCCACCCTCCTTAGGGATCACAGCCATGCCTGGCCACCCACAATAGCTGCTTTCAGTCCAATTTCACCGAAGGGCAGAGCTCTCAGAACACGAAGTGGCTGGAAAATAGACTTCCTTCCTCAGCAGATTTGTCACAGCCTTCAGGGAAGTTCCCAAGTTGGGACTATGATCTTGTGCCACTGTATGGGCACAAGGGGATCTCCGTGCCTCCAATTGCCATCAGCATAGCCGAGGAAAGTGAGGCACTGGGAGGTAACGGGGCTTGCTTGGGAATGAGCTGTGGCATTTCTGCAGATCAACCCATCAGCTGAGACTAACAAGCTTTGGACCCTGCATCTCAGGGATGAAGGACATCCTAAGCAGCCACCCTCCAGCTTCAGTGCTTCACAGCACAATGTCAGCTCCATGAGTGAGATGTTGGAGAGCTTTCATCCCTAAAGTGCCACCACTCAATCCCCATCACTCSAAAACCCAGCAGAGAAGCTGCTAGGGAATCATCAACACAGGGGTYGGGTAAATACAGTACAGAGCCCACCCCAGCCACATCCCTGTCCTGCAGTTACAGTATGGTGGGAATTAATGCCCTTTTTGGGGGGCACAAAAAACCCCAYCTCATCAGTTTCTCACCTGAATCCACCCAGCCATTCCCACATCACTTCCCCACTGCTGTCAGGTGCCCTGATATCCACAGAGCCTCCATTTCTTTTTTTAAGTACCTGCTTTTTTGTGCTTTCTTTTCACCATGCCCTCTTTTCCCATTTCCCTGGAGACGATGCAGGGCAGAGGAGCCGCTGGGCTTTGGCCACATTTTATGTCTCATTAAGACATCCCCGTATCCTTGTGGGACAGCGGGCTGGAGCAGGAGGGGTCTCGGTGGACACAAGGAGCTGTGGCCGGAGCCGCGGGATGAGCCCGGTGTCCGGTGCCCTGTG